AACGCACAAAATGGGTAACTTTCCTTTTATGGAATAATTTCCTTTTATGACAAGTGAGTACACAGTCCACCTGATGGGAAGTGGATGCTGCGACCCATAGACATCTACATCTATCCTCAATAAAAAATCAAAATGCAGATGCATAGTCACCCCTGAGGACTATGGTGGAATGCTCCGTTTGCATTGAAAGCGGTCTTTAGTTCATTAAGTTGCTATTTCACGCTGGTATTCTGAGAGAGCATGGTCCTTCCCCGGCCGATAGGACCCATTTGTGCTTCAACTATTATAATACCTGGAGGATAGCTCTATCACGTAATAATATACTCGTATTATAATTTACTGTATTAAGCTGAACTACTCAAGAAAAGAGCCTACTCCTTTTTAAAAGGTTGGCAACGCATCTGCAATTTCCCTGGTGTTGCATTTGTTCATGGGCGGCGGTATTCACTTACTATCAGGTGAGCCGCATACTCGTTTGCCCCCTCTCCTATAAAAAAAAAAAACTTTACTCGAAATTAAGGTACAAAATCATTAATTATTGTGCTCATGAAATATAAAAAAGCTGACACGACTGGTATGGTCTGGAAATATTTTCTTATTTCCAGACCATACTCATCTTACTTTTACAAGCTAGTTATACCGCCAACTATCCGAGGCCAAGAGAAATCTTCCAGCAATTTCTCGTAAATGACTCTGACGAGACTTGGGGGAAGAAAATGTACCACATTTTAATTTTTTTACTAATAGAAGGTAAACTAAAAAAATATAATTTTATTATCTAATCTATTTCACTCTAATATTTAATATTTTAGCGACCATTTTTCTTTCAAATTTTACATATGCCAATTAGAAATATTTTTGAAAAGATAACATATGCCCGAGGCGTTTTGGTCGCTAGTTTTAAATGTCCCGTGAAATGAAACACTACCGTTGCCAAAAAAATTGTAGCCTTATCGCAGCAGGTGTTCGTGACAATTTTTTTGTATTTTACTATTTTTCTGAATCACGGGTCTTTTTTTGCGAAAATGTTTCACAAAAAGTAAATTTGTTATATCTTAGGAATATTTTATGTTGTAAGGTGTTACAAGTATCGTTGTTAATTCCAATACTAAATATCTGTATTTATACATTTCATTCTTTAGGAGTACCAGTTGTCTTACGCAAGACCATTGGTTTACGTGAATTTAGTTTTATAAGTTCACGTAAACCAATGCAGTTTTATAAGTATTTTATTCTCCTGTGACACGCAATTTAATTGAGTTGTTTTATTTATTTCACATATAAAAAATAATGTTACAGTCTTTATAAGTTTTACCACTGAGACCAGGCCTCTTCTTATTTCTGTAGGGATATGGAACATTGGTCCGCAGTGCTGCTCCATGGTGTTCACGAGATTTATTAATCTGAAAAAGTCATTTGGTCAGAATCATTTAAATTTTTGCTAAATATTAAGTGCTCATTTAGTGCTAATTTAGTGCTGCAAATTTAAATTTCACGCCAAAATAGCTTGATGAAAAATGAGAAAACTGCATGCTTTTAATTAAGCTAGCAGTTTTCTACCTATTAAAACGATAACCGCTTAGTAAAGCACCAAATAGAAGCATCAATAATTTAGTGCTCCTTTAGTGCTGCCGATATACGCAGAAACAAATATTGGGAAAATATATGTTTTTAATATCATAAACTCTGCTACTTTGACATCTTTACAGATTATGTAATGAAAAAAATGACATCAGAGTGGGCTAGCACCTAATCGAATAAGATAATAAATTAGTGCTCATTTAGTGCTGTCGATATATGAAAAATAATTTGAGAAATATGTTTTTAAATACCATAAACTGCTACTTTGATATTTTTAGCAAAGTATTTGATGAAACATTGACATCCAAGTAAATTATGATCTAATGATATGAGATAATTAATTAGTGTTCATTTAGTGCTGTCGATATACGAAAATGGATTTAAGAAATTGTTATTTTTAATTATCGTTACGACATCTGTAGCAGAGTATGTAAAGAAAAAAATTGACATCGCCGTGAATGATCACCTAACGCCACAAGATGATAAATTAGTGCTCATTTAGTGCTGTCAAAATACGAAAAAGGATTTGAGAAATTATTATTTTTAAATACCGTAAACTGCTACTTTGACATCTTTAGCAGAGTATGTGATGAAACTTTGACATCCAAGTGAATTATCACCTAATGATATGAGATAATAAATTATTGCTATTATAGTTGCAGCGTAGTGATTATTATGAAATATATTCGTCGAAGACATATGAACACAGGTCTGTTAAGCTGGAATAGTCATTTGCAATCACATCACATTCACATGGCAAAATCACTTAAATTTTTGCTAAATATTTAGTTGTGCACTAAATAACTAAAAAACTTAAAGTGCTAATTTAGTACTGCAAATTTAAAACGAATAAGTATTTGAGAAAAAAAACGCGCTGCGTTACAGCTCTTATTTGGAACCGCGTGACTTTTATTATTCCCTGAAATAAAAAATCTGCAATAGAATTTTCAACACCGGAAGATGCGCTAGCAACGTTCAAGCAGGCTATATAAGAGGTTTCCAATGCATGAAACTTTGTATTGATGCTGGAGAAGAGATTTTTGAAAAGATTAATAATACCTCACAACATACTAAGTCTCTACCCGCTCTGTTGAAGAGTATTAGCTATTGTTTCAGATATGGAGCCTTTAATAGTAATGTTGCACTGCTGAATGAACAAAAAACTGTTTCTAACTCACCTCTCTTAAACATCTTTAAGCCTGCTCTCTAATAACGGACAGCCTTGCAATATGGTTGTTATTCACACACACAGTAATCAGCGATTGGTTTCGTGGTTAGAAGGTAGGCGAGCGTTTCGCAGTGGTTTGTTATTAATTAATTAGCAGGCTGCGTCAGATGGTGATTAGTCGCATTTTTTATCGCAAGACTTAGTCGTTCGCTACTTAACTGGGGATCGCTTGCGTCAGCGAGTTATATAAATAGCAGCTGTTTATGGCTTGCCGCTCACTTAGCGCTAAGCCACCGCAGAGTCTACTACACCTGAAGATGCCTCGTGTTGAGGCAAAACACATGTCGTATTATTGTGGGTGGTGTGTCGTTCCTAGTGTTGTGGTGGTAGAATAAGAGGTGACGGGGATTGTGCACGCATTTGAGGGAGGGAGGTGCCCTTCTAACTAGGTAAGACACATCATTTTATTTTATTGAGCGGATATTGGCATAGTAAATTTTTCCAACTTCGATTATTATTTAACACAATCACTAGCCAAAGTTCACATTAAATCTTTAACTGTAATTTTTTTTAATTTATCGTATAATGTCTTCATCAACAACAATTAAATATCATCATCACAATAATTTAACTAATTTAATATAATATTTTAATATTTCACAGTAATGTTTACATTAAATTACTCTGTGCTACTAGGAACAGCGTTGAAAGAGAAATTTGTTAAAGAACGTTACTTAAATAAATTGTAATTACTTTAGTTGGAATTCAAGGGGTGCGACGTTCCCAAAAACGTTATCCATATTTTTCTGTATAAATTTTTAAAAAGGGATTCATTCGAACGACAAGCGCCAAGTTCGGGAACTTCTACCGTGCTATTAAAAAAATAGTGTAGTTATCAGTAAGAAGTGCAAGAACAATTTCATTTACAGTAAAACTTTAAGTTCTAGTATATTTTCTCTAACTTTAAGTACTAGTATATTTACGAAATTTAATGTATGTGCAAAAAGCAAAAAGTTTTATTAGCTATAGTTATGAACATTCTATAAATGCTAGGAACAGGCTACTAATACCAATTACTCGACCTCAAAGCAACAGTATTTTTATAGGGCAATATATAAGCTTTAACAACAAAATCTCAGAAAATATGCAGGGACTATCTAACAAAAAGTTGAAAGATAAACTACTATAAAAACTATAAAAACTACTGAAGATAACAGGTAATTACCCCTGGGAATGAGGTGATCACCACCATATCTATTAAAGTTCATTAAAATATCGTACAAAATTATTGTAAAGTGATATAACGGTTGTTTGTGAAACGCTCCCGAAAACCAAGACAGACGACAGTACTACGAGTACCTATACTTTTGATGATGGGTGAGATATAAAATCAATCCTGATGAAAAAAAAATCATCTTTTCACAACTTCTTATTAGATTTATTCATGCTCCATCATGTTAGTACAGCTAAATGAAACGATAATTTCATAAAATAAATCATGAAAATACTTAAACATGAAACCAGCAGTGGAATTACTGAATTAGAATCAGCTGACTAGAGTACAATGTACGCGTGGACGCCGAATTTGCGCGGACCACAGCTAGCGAAGGTACCACAATACCTAATAATTTACAAAACTTGTCTAAATACTTGACTTATCTACTTAACCTACTATTTGGCCACTGTGCTTGTCTCCACTTAGCCACTTTATTCACAGGTTAAATAAACCAAATACCTGGTTTGATTCCGCGCTAATAAAAAATGCTAAAATGAAATGTTAACAAGGTAAGAGTCATGCTTTTTGTGTAAGTATATTTATTATTCTGATGTATTCAGCTATGTACTTATTCAGATGAGTTCAGTACTAAGTTATTTAAAAAATTTAGGTATGAAACAGCTTACCAATCTAAATCTAATGATATTCTCCAAGGCATATTAACATGTAGCCGTATTCACGAGCACTATAAACGTACCTACGTGTTAGGCAGTATTAAAACAAAACAAGAAAAATAAAACGTAACAACAAGAATGTAATAAACAAAACGACTGAACTGACGCTCACGCTCAGTCAACACGGAACTGTTTCAAAAACTAAAATTAATAATAAATCCCGCCAAAACAAATGCGCACGACGCATTCATCCTTAAAGCATTGAGCTACTACCACAGACCGTAAAACCCTTTTTTTTTTTTTTTTTTTTTTTTATAGGAGAGGGGGCAAACGAGCATGCGGCTCACCTGATGGTAAGTGACTACCGCCGCCCATGAACAACCGCAACACCAGGGGAATTGCAGATGCGTTGCCGGCCTTTTAAAAAGGAGTAGGCTCTTTTCTTGAAGGTCCCTAAGTCGTATCGGTCCGGAAAAATCCCTGGTGGTAAACTATTCCACAAGGAAGTTGTGCGAGGAAGAAAACATCTTCTAAATCGCACAGTGGTGGACCGCCAATCATCCAGATGGTGTGGATGGTATCGGGAGTTCTGCCGCGATGTGCGTTCGTGAAATTTGGCGGCTGGGATTAATCCGAACAATTCCTCAGAGCACTCCCCATGGTAGATGCGAAAGAAAATGCAAAGAGATGCAACATCTCTTCGCAGTGCCAATGAATCGAGCCGATCGGAAAGGGCTCGGTCGTCGACGATTCGAGCCGCTCTGCGCTGGATGCGGTCAAGTGGAAGGAGCTGGCACTGGGGAGCCCCTGCCCAGAGATGGGAACAGTATTCCATGTGAGGCCGAACCTGCGCCTTGTAAAGTTGCAGGCGGTGTGCCGGCATGAAATACTGTCCCGCTCTGCTGAGCACGCCAAGCTTTTTAGAGGCCAATTTGGCCTTCTCTTCCAAGTGACCACGAAACTGCACGTCACTCGATATGTCGACTCCGAGGATACCGATACTGGCTGAGGCAAGAAGGGGAGTGCCTTGAAACTGAGGAGATACGACAAAGGGGTTCTTTTTAGCGGTAAACGCGCAAACTTGTGTCTTCTGAGGATTAAACTGGACTAGATTTAGTCGCCCCCAATCCGAGACTTTGTCCAGCAAAGACTCGACTTCAGACACAAGTTTGTTCCGGTACTCGGCGACGTTTTCCCGAGAAATATTGGCCCGGCCGATGTATAGAGCATCACCAGTGCTGTCATCCGCATAGCAATGAATGTTACCAGTTAGCAACATATCATTGATATGCAGAAGAAACAGCGTTGGTGATAGCACACAGCCTTGTGGAACACCAGCGTTAATAGGCTTGTAGTCAGAACATGCACCGTCTACAACGACCTTGATGCTCCGATCTGCAAGAAAGCTGGTGATCCAATTGCACAATTTCTCGGGAAGCCCATAGGAAGGCAGCTTTGAAAGAAGCGCTTTGTGCCAAACCCGATCAAAGGCTTTCGCAATGTCCAGACTAACGGCCAACGCCTCCCCCTTGGACTCTACTGCCTCCGCCCATCTATGGGTCAAGTAAACCAGAAGATCACCAGCTGATCGACACCGACGAAAACCGTATTGGCGGTCACTAATCAGCTGGTGATCCTCAAGGTACCGGATGAGCTGGCAGTTAATAATGGATTCCATTATTTTGGAGAACAAGGAGGTGATCGCGATAGGCCTATAGTTGGACGGGTCTGAGCGGTCGCCTTTTTTAGGGATCGGGTGGACAAAAGCTGTCTTCCATGAATTCGGGACTACGCCTTGGGAGTAGGAGTACCGGAAAAGACGCGTTAGGACCGGTGCCAACTCCGGAGCACACGTCCTCAGCACAATTGGGGGGATTCCGTCAGGCCCACTCGACTTCTGGATGTCCAGGGAGAGAAGTGCTTTGCGAACAGAGCGCTGTGAGAATAGCACATCCGGCATGGAGCACTCGCACCGCGGGATGGTCGGCGGTATTTTCCCCCCGTCATCAAGAGTCGAGTTGGACGCAAAAAGGGAGCCTATAAGGTCGGCTTTGTCTTTTGCGTCTTGGGCCAGTGAGTCGTCCTCCCTGTGCAGAGATGGTAGTGATGGCTTACAGAAATTCCCTTGGACAGCCTTGGCGAGAGACCAGAATGCACGGGTTCCCGAAGGAAGGCGAACTAGTTTCTCGCCAATTCTGCCTATGTGCAGAATTCAAAAGAATTTCCCTTAAGACATTGCCAACGTTTATTCTATTCATAAGTTTACTTATCCCTACGTCTGGTCTTCATATGGAATTTAGAAGTTATGGTTGTAATTTTTAATACAATTACATAATCAATTGTACGCTGATGCAACATGCAGTTGTTTACTATAAAAATTATAATGAAATTAACAAACGTACCTAATTGGGTACTCAGTACTCACTTATATAATTATAAACACTATTTCGTCGTTATCTTTGATTTTGTATTAGAAAATAGAAATGAAATGGTACTGAATAATTTAATAGTTAAAATCAATTGCAAATATGATCGACAGTTAATCACTCTATCAGAAATAACTAATGTAAAAATAATACTTTTACTTTATTTTAATCGACTTTCCGTATTTAATCTGACCAATACTTTGAAGTCAAAAAGAGATACGTCAAAAGTATTAAAAATTACTTGCAAGTTTTATAGTGATTGCTACCTCTAATTCTTATGTCGCCAGAAAACTAAATTTCGGTGCAACATGGCAGCGTTGCCAACACCAATTTGTCACATTCCCCGAAAATTCATGTCATATTTCCCAGTTTAAGGACAAAACTTCAACAGATTCTCCACAAATTCCCCTCAATTTTATTTTTAGAAATGAATCAATTTTCAACTTAATTTTATAAGATTAGTTTTTAACTAACATTTATTTCTTTAAAATTAAAAATTAAGAAAGAATTAAATGATACACAAAAGTTGCAGAAACGAGTTGAATGTAAATTCAAGAAAAATAATTTCCTTCTGCGTGAATCCCATATCTCTGGTACCCTTTGACCTACAGGACCCAAATTTTTACAGGTCCTCTTTACTGGAAATGAGGCATTCCATCTTAGTTTTCACGGGTGACAACGCACCTACATTTTGATTTGTAATAGAGGATAGATGTAGATGTCTATGGGCCGCAGCAACCACTTACCATCAGGTGGACTGTGTGCTCGTTTGTCACCCTTATCCTATAAAAAGAAAATTCAAACTCAACCGAGCTACTACCTCAAGGTATCCACATACCAAATTTAAAGTTAATCGGTCCAGTGGAACGGAAGTTATCGTGTCGGCATACAGACTAACAGACTGCCAGCTAAAATCATTAACTTCGTTTCAATGCTACCCAGAAGGAAGTTAATAAATCCAAAAGTTAAATATGGTGCAATGAATATAATTAAAGGGATAAAAAAGGGAGTCATTCGATATTCGTAAGTAACCTAACAAAATGCTACGATAAGTATTTAGATTTCTTGAAAAAAGGTTTTGACTTGACCATGGCTATTGATTTTCAAAATCCCCGTATTTTCCCCGCATAATACAATCCCCAACCGACTTTAAATTACCCGCAATTTTGGGGATTCCCCACATTTTGGCAAAGCTGACATATGTAAATTCCACAGCGCGAGGCGACACGAGCCAGCATGGCTTCGGTAGCACTTGTGTGAAAGGGAAAGTTAGAGTGAGTAGACTGGGCATTCTTTCGCACCGAGCTAGATACAGGTCGACATTGGAGGGAGTGTGCTTGCGCATGGGTACAGTCTCGTTTTAAAGTACTACATAGTATTAGGCTATTGTTTTATAATATAATAGTAATTTATTGTTTTATTGTAGAATCATAATAGGTACTGGACTAGCTACTTAGAACTTTGGAAGAGGTTGGAATTAAAAATGGATAATGTTTACTTGAGCATTATTTTTTATTTCTATCGTAAAATAATAAAGTAGTTTGAAACAAGAAAACTTAAGCTAAGGGTGACTCGCCGTCCATTATATCGTCTTGGGTCACATGAAAGCCAGATGGCGATGGTGTGTTGGTGTTACTGGATGCTATTTCATCATCAAAGTAAGCTGTGTGTGCGACTGTATTTTGGAAGCCAATAAAACGCGGGAAGCATGAATAGCATGCGCGCAAAGTAATACTGGCGAGCGTTCCCCCGTCGTGCCCCCTTCGTCCCACCAATTTGATCGATAAATCGCTGTGGCTATGTTCAAGGCCAGCGCTCTTTTTATCTTACGGGACCTATAAGAGTTCAGTGTCCACGCGTACATTGACCCCTAGTCAGTTGACTGTAATTCAGTAATTCCACTGCTGGTTTTATGTTTAAGTATTTTCATTATTTTTTTATGAAATTATCATTTCATTTAGCAGTACTAACATGATGAAATATGAATAAAGTTAATAAAACGTTGTGAAAAGATGTCTTTTTTCCTCGGTATCAAATTTATTTTGATCAAAAATGTCCTTAGTACTTTCATCTGTCTTCGATTTCGGGAGCGTTTCACAAACACCTGGTATATTATATTTAAAAAAAATCTCACTGGGATTTTTGCTGGTTACTACACATAACTTCACTACTAACTACACATAACTTTTAAAAACCATCACTTTCGTCTTACTTGCGTTCACTTTCATACCTGTATCTTTCAATGAACAGTTCATTAAAGTAACCATCATTTGCAACTCGGCCGCCGACGATGCAAATATGACTTGATCATCGGCGTACAAAAGGCATTTGACGGTTAACTCACCCATTCTCAACCCACATTCTTTAACTTTCAAAGTTTGAAAACAACTGTCCATAAATAGGTTATACAGCCACTGGGAAGCCACACATCCCTGTCTGACACCTTTATGAATGCCAAACCAGTCCGAGTAGACCCTGTTGATCCTGACACAAGCACTAGAGTCTCTATAAAGAGACCTTAATGCCCGTATCAAGCCAGCGCGCAACCCAAATGAGTTCAGTGTTTGCCATAACACATTCCTGTCCACTCTGTCATAAACCTTTTCCAAGTCCATGAACGCACAAAAAACTTTCTGGTTTTTGGCCAAAAACTTCTCCGCAATCATGCGCATGGAAAAGACTTGATCCGTACACCCCATCCCCTTTCTAAATCCAGCTTGCACATCCCAAATTTTTCCATCAGTTTCTTCCATAACTCTTTCAATTAACACCTTAGCATACAGTTTACCCACAATGCTAAGCAAGCTGATACCACGGTTTCTTTTACAGTCCTGCTGCGAGCCCTTTTCCTTATATATTGGGACTATAACGGCTTTGCACCAGTCTTCCGGTACCCGCTTCAGTTCCCAACATAAATTAAACAAGGTGCACAGCAGGCCTGCAACCACACCCTCTCCAGCCCTTAGCATTTCGAGTGATATTCTATCATATCCGGCTGCCTTATCTACTTTCATGCTTTTCATTGCTTTCATTATTTCATCTACACTTATCTCCCTACCTCTCTCCACTTCTTCCGGAATCTCTATTTCACTTACTTCAGACGACTTTTCACTCTTAAACACGCTTTCAAAGTATTCCTTCCATCTCTTTAAATTCGAAACTTCATCATTCAGGATGCAGCCATTCTCGTCTCGTATAGCATTCATTCTAGGCTGTTTTGAATTTCCCCTGGCAGTTCTTAGGAGCTTCCAGAACATTTTAATATTTTCCTGGAAGTTATCAGATATCCTTCTATCATTTTTATCTATCCTTTCTAGCCTTTTCGTTTCATTAACTTCTTTTACTCTCTTATTTATACGTCTAAAGTCTGCCTTTTTTCTTTCAATGTCATCATTCATACCGTCAGAATTACCAGCTTTGGTTGCTAGTAAATCTAGCCATGCTTTCTTCTTTGCTTCAAATTCCATCCGTACCTCATCATCACACCACAACGTAATACTTTTCCTTTCATTCGTTCTCTTATTTACACCACATACTACGGTGGCTGCATCCACCAAAACTTTCTTGACATTATTCCATACATTCTTCAGGTCTAAAACATTCATACATAATTTATTCAACCCACTTATATTTACCCTCATTCTGCATTTATACTTCTCTTTCACGCCTTCATCTTGTAACCTCTCTATTCTTCAGCATAATATTATATGAAATATATATTTAAATTAATATCGAAAGTGCTCAATTACATTTATCACTACATCATATTACGTCTGATTAAAATCTTATACTAGAAATTGATTCTGAAATAAATAAAAAAGCTAATGGACTTAAGAATAATTTGAGTAAACCAAAGTGGCTGCAGACTATATCACTTTATCTTTATGTATAACGGATTAGGATTCACATCCATTTTTGTCGAAACAATGGTTTATAGCTATGTTAGGATGCAATAGGTTCCTAGCATAGCTATGAACTTCCTTGCAAGTTACTAACAAATTCAATATTTATGGACGAAAGTTACTCATATTCACATTGTATATTAGCTTAAAATCTGGAACCTGTAGGTGGCAATGTGGTCTGTCTGGCTATTTATTTATAGCAGAGGGGGCAAACGAGCATTCGAATCCCCTGATGTGAAGTGTCGCCGGCCATGAACAACTACAACACCAGTGGAACTGCAAGTGCGTTGCAAGCCGTTTAAAAAGAGTAAGCTCATTTGTTGAAGGTCCCTACGTCTCTAAGGCTATATTACTAATCTTGGTGTGTCTTTTAGTAATAGTGGAACTTCTAAATGAATGAAATCATAATCACACAATATGTTTCTTTAGTCGAGATTATGGTTCATAGATTTGTTGGGAGCCAATAGATGGCTAAAGAAATTCTATATTTTTGAACAAAATGACTATTAACAATATATTTCTTTACGTGCCATAAAATCACCAAATCTAGGCCCGATAGGTAGCGCTGTGTAGGTAGATTCAATACATTTACAATACATATCAATACATTTTGACTTGGCAGAGACATGGTGCAGCTATATTATAAGTGTAGCATGAATTCATCGCCTTGACCGGTTAAAGACGACGCTTTCACAGAATACCAACGTAAAAGCTTATTGCTGCTGTGTATCATATGATGTGTGTAGAGAAGTGGAAATCCCTTTTTACTTAAAGGAATTCCATCTCAGTCCTCAGGGATGACAACTTATCTGCATTTTGATTCTTAATCGAGGTTAGATGTAGAAGTCCATGGGTCACAATATTCACATTTTTACCATTAG